TATTAGGGTAGGTACGTAATATATTAATATTCTTAGGAAATCTAACCAGAAAGTATGCATGTAGCTTAATATAAATCAAAAAACAACTGAATACTTTACTTGCCTATGTAAAGATAATTCGGGGACCTTTATATTAGAACTTTCACACACTAAACACTTTCTAGTTATTTTTACGAGTATTTAGAAAGTCAAACGAAAAAAAAAATAATAGAAATATAATTGCATCAAAGATTTAAACTCGGGAGATACAACGATCCATTCATAAAACGCTCTCTCCTTCATCACACATTGGTTTGAGAAAATCAACGAATGCGAGAGAGAATGGACAAAGAAGGGAATAGGGTATCGGCGCAACGGCATCAATGTAGTTGTTTACAAAGATTAGACGGTTGAGGTCAATTTCCAGTGGCGTGCCGATCGACCGACAGTATTTTAAGGAAATTAAAATAATTGTTTAATAAATTTTAAAAAATAATAATAACACTTACATATTTGTCGCATTGTAAAAAGTTGAGGAAGGATATTAATAGGAAAAAAATAAGTTGAGGGAGGATAGCGAAATAAATAAAAACCGGCATAATTTTTTATTATTAGATGGCTTTTCACATAAGAATAACGATTAAAAAAATCAATAAGCGTTTTTTACTTTATTTTATTAAATAAAATATCAAATTTTGGGTGTATTAGTAAATGCAGTTTCAATATCTTGTTCCAAACCTTGTTCATCTCCGGTGAATGAGACTCCCTCTATTAGCAATAACTAAGTAAAATAGTTATTTTAACCTAGTAACAACAACAATATTTTACCAAAAACTAATATTTGTAGACTTCACATATTTTTGATAAAAACTTTATTATTATATGTATATTTATTATATACTTATATGAATTTTACAACTACTAAAATGTGTGTCTAAAGGGATCGCACCGCGATTAAAAAACTGATACAATGACACAAAGTACCAGAGTGGTGAGACCCCATAAACAAAATAGAAATAAATTAAATTATAAAAATAAACAGAATTAAAAAAAATAAAATTAGATAAAAAAAGTAAAAATATAATTTTATCAGGGATGAGCGGAGATAAGCAGAGAGGCATAACGAAACAGTGTAACCGGAACAGCAACCAATGACGTGCATATCAGAAGAACAAGAACCTCACAAATCAGTCGAAGAAATTATAATTTTTTAAATGATTTATTGTTATGAATTTAGTAAATGATTTTTAATTTGTTTTTTATAATCTGTAAAGGATTAAATTTTAAAGTTCTTAGAAATATTATTCCACAAATGTGGCGCTATGAAACTGAAATATTTTCGGAAGTTAGCTGTTCGGTGTTGAGGAATTTTAAAATAATGCACTTGCCTAGTCGAATGATCATGGTCAACGTAGTGAAACAATGAGAACAAATAGGGAGTCTGCGCTTTAGTTAAAATTCGATAAATGAATGTCATTAAATGAAATTATTACAAATCTAAACAAAATTATTTGATATTATAATACAGTCATCAGAAAAGCCTAGCGATAATTTTAGAATATCATATATAAAATAAAATGGCGATTGTTTAGTAAACGGTTCTTCCCTTAGTCTTAAAAAATATTTAGTTTTTTTTCTCTGGTTTGCAAAGGAAAATTCATATTGTTTATAAATAATAAAAAGTGCATGTGCAAAGAATTTCAATACAATAAAATACAACAAAATGTAGTAGTCATAAAATTCATGTAATAAGTACATTAATTATATGTATGTCAAAACATGTCCATTTACATTATAGCAACCAAAATTTAAAACAAAAGCCGTATTAAATTGTAACGGCAACAAAAAAAGTAAGGCCGTAAAATTCCATTTTTGGTACACCCCAATAAAATTTTCACAAAAGGTAGGTAATGATTTGTCAAACCCAAGTGGGTACCTAGATTATTCTTATTCAATACCCTTTCATAAAAGGGAAACAGAAATTGTTATTAAGTTATTAGTAATTAGTACGTACCACATGTACCTTTTTTCTACAAATAATTTAATTAATAAATATACAATTTAAAAAATAAACCTAAAAATAAATATAATTTAGAAATCTGCTATTTTTTATATCTAGGTCCGCCTCTGATCTACAGAGAAGAGGATATAATAATATACCTAACCCTACTTATTTTTATTTACCGGTGAAAAATTAAATTTGGATTTAAATGATACACTCGCTCTTGTACACAATACATGAATGTACCATATTTTCTAATTAATGTCCACAGAAGTCCACAAAATAACGCAAAAATACTATAATACTGCAAATAAAGAATACGGAACTTGATCGGCGGCATAGCAACATCGCAACAGGAGAATCTAGGAATTTTCATTCATGCTCGAAATCCGTTGTACTACGCCGGCATATTTCTAAAATTGACGTTGCCAAACTGCTTTTTATTATTAAAAGAAACACGATCATGATATTTTTTTCCATTATAAAATTTAAAATAGTTAAGCAGTTAAGCATTAAATGAAAAAATTGACGTTAGCAAATTAATGTACTTGATATATTATAGAAATATAACGAAATTATTTATTACTTAATAATTGGTTGTGGTATTTAATCGAATACTAATACCAATATACAGGTAAACCTGGCAAATGTTTTCGGTGTAAGAGAGATGCGAAAATAAGGATAGAATAATGGCCGATGAAGGAAAAAGGAAAACAATTGTATCTCTTGAGTTTAAATATCTTTGAGTTGCACAAACTTAAAATTAATTTCTGACTGAACACACTTCCATCCTTGGCTATATAAAAGCGGTCGATAAAAGAGTAATTAATACAATTTTTAAAATAAAAAATGCAAAAAACAAGCGTCGTTACACAATGGAAGTAAGATTATGACATATGATTATGACATTATGATGACAATGAAAGGTTGGTTTCCATCTTCTTCTTCATATACCGTCTCCTTATCGGAGGTTGATACCAGCATCATTGATATTCTGACCTTGGAAGTTGCGGCCCTAAATAAGTCAGATGACGTGACATTAAACCATTTTCGCAGGTTTCTGAGCCAGGATTCTTCTTCCAATAGATCTTTATCCTACAATTTTTCCCTGGATTATGAGTTGTAAAATCTCAGACCATGGACCTCTCATGATATGTCCGAGATATTGCAATTTTCTTTTTTTCACTTCCTTGAGGATCTCTACGCCCTTCCTCATTCTTCTCAGAACCTCCACGTTGGTTACATGTTCTGTCCATGGTATTCTCAACATCCTACGGTATGTCCACATCTCGAAGGCCTCCAGTTTCCGCTCGCAAAGCTCGTTGAGGGTCCAAGCTTCCATACCATACAAAAGGACTGTGAATACATAACATTTGAGCATACGAGTTCTCAGATCTAGGCTCAAATCGCGGCTACAGAGCAGCTCTTTAATCCTCACAAAGGATGCACGGGCCTTCTCAATGCGAATCTTTATTTCTGAACAATAATCCGCGGTGCAGTTGACACTTCTACCCAGGTAGTCATACCTCTCTACTCTTTCGAGCTCCTCGCCTTCCGCATACAGATGTTCATTGGGCACTCTAGTTTTAGTGACAATCATGTATTTAGTCTTCTTAACATAGAGTGTCAGACCATATTCTCGACTAGTTGTGATGACGTTATTTAACATATTCCGAAGGTCTTGCATATTTTCAGCGAGAAGGACTGTATCGTCCGCGTAGCGCAAATTGTTCAGTTGTATGCCGTTAACTCGTATTCCACCAGCATCATTTTCGAGGGCTTTGTTAAAGATTTTCTCTGAGTAGACGTTGAAAAGGAGTGGCGAAAGAACACATCCTTGTCTAACTCCTCGTTTGATATCCACTGCTCTTGTCAGTTCAGATTGGACGCGAACAGACGCACTTTGGTTGAGGTACAGTTTTACTATTATTTGTATATCTCTTGTATCGAGATTTTTTCGTTCTAACGCTTCTATTAGTTGCTTGTGTCTTACTTTATCAAATGCTTTATTATAGTCAATAAAGCAGGCATATACATTTTGATTGACATCAAGGCATCGCTGCATTAAGACATTGTAGGCAAACAAAGCCTCCCTCCGAAACCATTTGGTTTCCATAACAAAGTATAATTTGTACTTTCTAAACCGTATAAAATTATGATCATTTTGGAAATACGTGCAACTTTTAATGCGCATGCGCAAAGTAAGGTCCTCGAGAAAGATAACCTATTGAAAATGGCATGTCGTGATGTTGGAGACATATTTTTCAATGCTAAACTGATGGCGTTGATTTATCCACGTAAATATATATGATCTAGGATCCCAACACTCAATGAATTTTCTTATTCCTTAATATTAATATTTAATATGGTTAAATCATTTTTTAAGTTGTTGTCTTACAGTGACACAACTCGCGGGGCAGCCAGACTACCCGCTTTAAGCTTTGTTTTCAGGGTTCTGTAAAATTATAACTATTTGAGTTACAGTTCCGGGAGCTAGAACTTTTTTTTAGTAAATTTCTTTATCTTTTCGGATTTCTTTTGAAGTTTCGAAAATCTTCAATATTTTTCGAGATATTAAAAAAGACAAACCCCCACTTTTTTTGACTTAATTGTTAATAATTTTAGTATTTTTTTTACATGAAGTCACGAGCTGCGCTAAAGCATACCAGTTATATGCGTATCGTGCTTAGAACAAAATACGTGTTATTCTGAGCCAGAATATTTAGTTTGAAATTAGAAATATCATCGATAATAGTCAATTAAATAAGGAATTCCACGACAGTACCTTAAACTTGTAAACTAAAGTTAAGATTTGTTAGTTCAATTTATTTTTATTATTTTTTTAGAGTTTATTACGCAGTTGAAGTATTTAGTTAGGTGTAACCCTGTTATTATGTTTTTAAAATGTCTGTTATAAATAAATAATTAAATAAAAATACATGTTGTTGCAGTTAATAGGTGTTGTTTATTTTGAAAATCCTGTGAAGTGAACAAGAGTGTAATAAGTGATACTTTTTCTTTATGCTGTTTCTTCTTCGGTCAAGTTACGTAGAACAGCAAAATATGAAAGAGAGGTCTTCACAATCTAAAAAAAAAACAGTGTGTGCACTATGTGCGCATATTTGAAGTGAAACTTCTTACTAACCGCCATTAAATTGAAGGATTTGAAGGACATGTTTGAAAAAGTGACATAATATAATGCTGTTTTAATATAAATATTATTTTTAATTTATTTTTGTAATCTGTACATTTTCTGTGTCCTAATAGCCTGCAAATTTGTCTGCAAAATCCCTAATAACGTTAACGCTTAAGGTACATTCAGGCTGAGAGCATCGAGCGTCGCGTCGTGTTTGCGTCGCGTCCGCGTGTCGAAATGGAATCAATTCACTTAACTTAAATTAGACCGTTCAGGCAGATAGCGTCTCATTTGGTGTTGCGGTAGCGTCCGCTGAGCGTCGGGGCTGGAGTTCAATCAGGCGGACGCGACGCGAACCCGACGCGACGCTCCACGCTCTCAGCCTGAATGTACCTTTAGATTTATTTAAGAAGAGAAAAAAAAATAACCTAGCCAACAATTCGTATTTATAGGTTTACAGTAATTTTGTTAAATTATACAAATATTCTCGTTGTATTGGTTTGAAATAAATATGACAGTGTCATTCAATGAAAATGCGAATAACTAACTCTAATAATTCTAATTTTCTAAGCTGGCAACTAAGCTAGATGATTACCTAAACCGTTATTCAGAAGCTACAAACCTATCAATAAAAATATACATGAAAATTTACTTCCTAGCACATAACTAGAGGATATTGATACACAGATACCGTATCAAGTTTCTTAGTGATTCATAGTGATTTTATTAGCCGCGTATGGCACAGAGTTACCTAGAGCGAGCTAAAATTGTTTTACAAAGGGTAGATCTACCCCGAATGGGAACACTTTGTAGCTGAGGCAACACTGCCGTTACCATTTTTCCTGGCACTAGCTGGTGTGTCACGGCCTTGAATTTTTACTCCCAACGCGCGTAAAGAAGTTTCACTCCAAAAATAAATCACAAAGAATTAAATACTCAACAAGACAATTTATACTGTGTCTTGGAATAAAATATTTTCTTGGTTGTTGAAAGTCCAAGAATATATACAGGGTGGTCCGAACTGTATTCCGGAAACTTCAGCAGCATATTCTGCAAATAAAAATAAGTAAAAAGGTTCGTATAAATGTATGTCCTAAAATGCTTAGTTTCGGAGATACAGGTTGTAGAAGTTTCATTTTTATTTCGATTTTTCCCAAATAATTTCGGCAGTAACGTCAATATTTCGATGCAAATTGGTATCTGGGAGTTTTTTGACATCAGAAATTTGATTTTGAAGTCAATATGACTCTTACTAGTAGATGGCGCCACCTACATATTTTTTAACTGGTTTGAAGAGTAATAACTTTTTGTCCGTACCTGTATAAAACTACTGAGTAAAAAAATATACATTTACGATGTTTTTTACGTAAAAAATGTCTCTTGGTAAAAATCGCTACGAGTATTGGTTTTTGAGATATTTAGAATCGAAATTATTAATACCTGTCATCATTGACATAATTTAAACATGATCACTTAATAGTTACTAGACTGAGATCATAATTTTAAAAGTTTTTGTACCAAAAGTTCAACAGAAACTGTTTTATTATCATTTTTTTGCAGAAAAATTTATGATTAATTTAAAAAAAAATTCCCAAATTTATTATTTCAGTGAAATAACTATCTAATCAACGTGTTTATTTTTCGTCAATAATGACATGTTACTGCTTCCATTCTAAATATCTTGAGAACGGTTGCTCGTAGCGATTTTTAGAAAGAGATATTTTTTACATAAAAAGTCACGGAGATGTATATTTTTTCCCTCCTTAGTTTTATACAGGTACGGACAAAACGTTATTACGCTTCAAAACAGTTAAAACACATGTAGGTGGCGCCCTCTATCACTAGGAGTCATATTGACATCAAAATCAAATTTCTCTTATCAAAAAACTCATAGACACCAATTTTCATCCAAATATTGACGTTACTTCAGAAATTATTTGGAAAAAATCGAAAGAAAAATGAAACTTCTACACCCTGTATCTCTGAAACTAAGCATTTTAGGACATACATTTACACGAACTTATTTACTTATTTTTATCTGCAGAATATGCTGCCCAAGTTTCCGGAATACAGTTCGGACCACCCTGTATATAATTTTTTTATGTTTGTCAAGTAATACATTTAAAGAAGCTTTGTCTCTTCAACAAAGTCTTCTAAATGTATGACCTAATAAACATAAAATACGTAGTCATTAATAGGTCAAACAATGAAGTCAGGTATTGCAGATCTTGTGTGGTCCAAGCAGAATAACATAAAATGGTTACCGCGACCTTATAGATCTATTGTGTCCCCTTTCTCGAGTTAAAAATCAAAACTCATCACTTTGTCTCAGGGTTTTCACAAAGGCCTGTATCTGCCACGGTTTTACAGAGGTTAGTTCCCCATCTCCAATATTAGTCGTACCGAAATTTATTGCACAAATGATTGTCGTCTCGGCGCACTCAGTGATGTGGTATTCTGGTGTCTCCCCATTTTTCCTACAGAATCTGCATTCGCCGTTTTTTCTTCAAGCGTCAATCTATTGAGATGTTTATTGAGGATACAGTGTCCTGTTAAAAACCCAGTGACAATCCGAAGATTGTTCTTATATAAAGCAAGAAAAATATCGGTCGTATGTCTTGAGAAATTTCTTCGTAGACCGTTGGAGGATTCCCAATCCAGTTTGAGTATGGTTCCAGGTTCTTGACTTCTGCTTTAAGTTCGTTTGTACTTGCCAAACAAAACGGTTCTGGTCCAGTTAGTAAAGTGTTCGCTCATTTTCTAGCTAGATTGTTTGCAGCAGTTATCAAACAATGATAACATCTTCATCTTATCCTTAGTAGACAACTCCACGTTTAATTGCACTTAACTTGCTTATTACGTCGCAATACATAATAATGTGGATAAATTAAAAAATAATGTTAATAGAGTTTGCTCAACGAGTTAGGAAAGATTTTGACAGACTACATCCAACAACTAACACAGAATACAATCCGCTGTAAATTAAAATGACAGACATGTCTGTCATTATCAGGTAACCTCTCATTTTGGACAGACTTTAGCTGCTTACCGTGCCAAATGTTTCTACTGTTATCTCAAAATAATCCAAAGCGTACAGCTTGATAGGTTTCTGACTTCTGTGTATAAAAAACAGCAATTTCTTTTTAAATTTTTCAGAAGCATTGACCCAATCACATTCGTAAGCAGCCTTAGGTATATTTTGACTCTAAAAAAGTTAATATTAAAAAAAAATAAAAATAGTTAAGCGAAAGTCTTGCCTTAACTGTCATTTCTGACGCGAACCAACAAGGTACAAGTAGCAAGTTTCCAATACAGAGTTGATACACTACCAAAAAGAAGAATTGAAATGAATTGGGGTCAGCCTAAAAAAAAGGTTTTTGAATACTTTCAGTTGCTTTTTTGAAGAAACTTTTACCAAAGTAATGAGAAAGAGACCCATACATATTGCACAGGTACTTGAGAACATTTGGGCGAAATACACTCTACCAAAAACCATATTTACTGTTTCTAGAAAACTAAATACAATACTTAGTAAAAATATTACAAATAATTAAATTGTTTTATTAAAAGTAAAGCTAATAAAAAATAATCTAGGTTTTCTTTATTCTCGACAATGAAAAGAGGATATACCATAAATCATTTTATTAGAAAAAAACTTGAGTATCGGAGGAGAAAAACAAGACCTAATACTAAAAGAAGTTAAGAAAATTAAGTGCTGCTCAAAATACAAATATTAGGGTATAGAAATCACAAATGATGGACTGTTGGATACAGCAATTAAAGAACGAAACTAACTTGGAAGGAATGCTATCACGGTATTAAATGGGATACTGTGGGACAGAAGCATAAACAACGGGAACAAAACACTAATACATAATACAATCAAGAGTATAACCACGTACAGCTTTGAAGTGTGGCCAATTAAAGAAGTAACAAAACGAATGTTGGAAGCTACAGAGATGGATTTTTGGAGGAGAGCAGCTGGCAAATCAAAACTCGAACAAATAACTAATGAACGCATAAGAGAGATTATGGAAGTTAAACATACAATGGTGGACGAGATAAAGAACAGACAACTCATATGGTACGGGCATGGCCAAAGGATTGCAGAAATAAGAATCCCAAAGCAAATCATAAACTGGAAACCAGCAGGAGGAAGAAATCAGGGTAGACCGAGAAGAAGTTGGCAGGAAGGGATTGACACGTTTATAGAGGAAAGAGGTCTCGGAGACGGTGCATGGAGAGACAGACAGGCATGGAGAAATTGCATCGGAAGACGTAGAACGTTTTAAACCGCTTAATATACAGGGTGAGTTCCCTACGATGTTCTCTATGTATCTCGGAAACTACTGGAGATAGAGAGTCTGTTAAATGGGAAAATAATTGCAGTTTTGTGGGGTAATAAATATGCGCCTTTCAGATTTTTGAAAAAGTTCATGGCTTACTAGATATTTCGAAAAAAACAATTTCGGTTATATTAAAAATTGTCCCTAATTCCATTATAATCTATTTTAGACAAAAAGTTTTCAGATAAAAGTTGTAGATAATCACATCCTTAATGAGATTGTGTCCTCTGTTATTTTCTAAAGCCTGTCATTTTTGAGATATGACACAAATATATGTTTTTTTAAATGTAAACCATAGTTGGCCATGACTTATAAAAAGCGCCATTTTTTAAGCTTTTTAGAGATATAAGCTATAATATGTTCTCTTCGAAAAATTACTGAGTTGTAGCGAATTCTTATAATTTTTAAACAATTTCACTTAGTTAGCCATGGAAACAAGTTCAATCGCCGTTGCTTTCAGAAATGTGAAGCTGTCACATCCAAACTTTGTAAATTAAAATAAACAAAAATTGTAAATATGAATTTTTCAATAGAGTGGTTTCCACATGACTTTCATTATAACCCCCCCCCCCTCATATTGAAAGAGATGTTAAAATTATTTATATCATAATAATGCAAACTTAGGGATAGGAAGAGGTGGACCAATTGCATGGGCCTCCTCTATCACCTGACCTATGCATTTTAGATTTTTTTATGCGGTATGGTTAACAAAAAGGTTTAAAAACAATTTTATGAATTAAGGGGGGCACTACGAGAGAAGTTTAATTAAGTCGGCCGGTACTTCTGTGAGAATAGGTAGTAATTCACTTCTAAAAGATGCAACTCAAAACAATGGCGGTTTTTTTGAACATTTTCTAAAATAACTTAAAATGTATGTAGTGATATTATTTTTTAAAGTTTTAGTTTGTGTAATGTAAATTGTAAAGAACCGTTTAATAATATATTCTGACTTTTTATATGTTATAAATCATAACAGAAGAAGAATACCATGCAATCTAAGTGAAATTAATCTAGAAAGATAAGAATTGGTCATTTAATTTAAATTAATTTTAATTAAATTTAGCTTTTCAAACAAGTCTTAAAACCCGTTCCCTAAAAAACGTAACATTCACCGGTCAAGGCCAAACTGTATGGCCAAGAAAAGTTGAACCAATAATCCTATACGCTTTTCTTCATTTGAAAAATTCATATTTACAATTTTTGTTTATTTTAATTTACAAAGTTTTGATGTGACAGCTTTACATTTCTGAGAGCAAAGATAATTAAACTTGTTTCCATGGCTAACTAATTTTTAACTCAACTAATTTTTCGAAAAAAACATATTATAGCTTATATCGCTGAAAAGCTTAAAAAATGGCGCTTTTTATGAAGTCATGGCCAGCTATGGTTTCCATTTAAAAAAAACATATGTTTGTGTCATATCTCAAAAATGACAGGCTTTAGAAAAAAAAGGAGGACACAATTTCATTAAGGATGTGATTATCTACAACTTTTATCTGAAAACTTTTTGTCTAAAATAGCTTATAATGTAATTAGGGACAATTTTTAAAATAGCCAAAATTTGTTTTTTTCGAAATATCTATCTAGTAAGCCATGAACTTTTTCAAAAATCTGAAAGGCGCATATTTATGACCTCACAAAACTGCAATTCTTTCCACATTTAACATCGCAGGGAACTCACCCTGTATATAGAAAAAAAAGTGATGGTAAATCAAAAAGCAAAAGTATTACAATCAACATTTAAATTTACAAAGTTACTTACCGCAAAATTGTATGATGATGTTTGACGCACTCTACAAACTTCAATTCGTCTCCTGCAAGATTCCTAACTCTTTGACATAACAGATCACATTGCAGACCTACAAAAGTACATACCCCAGCAACCAGAGTATCAGTGAATATGTTCAATCCACAAATAAAAAACATAGCTAGTGCTTGATGCAAATACGCCAGCTCATATTGCGGTGTAAGCTCAATATTAAAAGGATACCATGACTGCACAGGCAAACCTTGGTTCGTTTTATAAAACAAAGGTACAGTTATCGAGCAAAAACTCGAAATACCACTCAGTATAACTAGGGCAGTTTTGAATTTTCCGAAAGATTCAAAAACTTCCTTAATAATGGACTTTTCTTCATGGTTTTGTGGTTTGAAGTATTCCTGATCAAACTCCATGATAAGTTCGTAGACTTTTTGCTGGTTTACATAGAAATAAAATGACTTTACTTGCCCCATCAGGCATGTAAAAATGATATAACCTATAGAGGTGAGTGTTCTGATACTTTCAGTGTTCAAAACCCAAAATACCACGACTAGAAAATTGAATGGGCCCATTAAAAGTATATTTACTATGAAATGGTGGATCTTGTAGAACATGGAGAATGGTGTTCCGGTGTATATCCATGCGCCACAGTATTTTAAGCAAAAAAAGTCGCGGTTAAAATACTTCAAGTATGTAAACGACATTTTTCAGTTACAGAAATGATTTTAATTTAAAACAGTCTCTTATATAAGGCTTTTAATATGTATAAAAAAATAAGACAATTATTTGAAAACACGAAACCATATGACACTCTTACTATACAGGGTGGCGCCTCTCATAAGACGTGGAGGCTGCAAGGAGAACTACAGCTTTATTGAAATTAAATTTTGTGAGCAAATATAGGTTGGTTTAGAGTATTTTTTAAAAATATAGAGAGTTCTACAGACTGTCTGCAAAAAAGCTACACATCAAAGTTGTGTTTTTTGTAATGGAACACTCTATATTTTAATTGATTTTCGGATTCTAGGAGAAAAATAAAGATGAGTTTTATTAGAGAAGTATATGGCTAAAATGTAAGGTTTTTGACATATTTAACAATTTTTAAAAATGAAGAACAATTTTAAAATTTTAATAAATGCTACCTAAATTATAATTAATCCGGTATAGCGTATTATGTAGTTAAAATAACTATTGTACTTTAAATCAAATTAAATGTTGACCCGAAAAGTTAGACAGGATGAGAGAAAATTAATATTAAACACTGGTCACATTTAAAAGCAATTTACTCCTTTATTTTAAATGAAACACCCGGTGTATTATTTCCCTCAATATTCAATAGAGAATTCATATATCTTTTTTTTCCACAATAAGGGGCCGTCCTCTGCCGGAAACACTGCGACCTGTGAGGCCTATTGTGTTTGTCCCCTTTCTATATCTGCACCCATTCTCCTATCCCTGTGCCCTGCACTAACTTACGCAGGTCCTTGATAGGTTGGGAGCATAGTTCCTCCGGTTCTAGCCTAGCTTTCCCAAATAAAATGTGTCGCTTGCGATCCAGAGCCTCGCAGTGACATATTATGTGCTCCGCTTTTTCAGGATCTTTATCGCAGAGTCTGCAGCAAAGACTTCCTTGATACAGATTGAGCTTGTTCAGGTAACACTTGACAGCCATATATCATGTCAAGAGGCCTGTTGTAATCCGCAATTTATTCCTGCTAAGCATTAGCAGTTCTTTTGCGGTTTTGGAGCTAGGTCCTTGGATAAAAGCCTTGCTGTGCCTGTGCCCCTGTCTGTTTCTCCAGTGGACATTCTGCTTTTCCTTGATCCAGAGTTTTAGTGCACTACGGGCCATACATTTGAGTATTCCCAGTACTGGCTCTGGACCAAGATAAGATGCCGATGATCCTTGCCTAGCTAGCTCATCGGCTTTTTCGTTGCCTTGGATGCCGCTGTGGCCCGGCACCCAGAATAATTTAATTCTGTTCCGTCGAGCCAGAGCTTCCAGTTCACCTAGGCATTCCCAGACGAGTCTGGACGATACCTTTGGGCTCATAAGCGCCCCAAGTGCCGCCTGACTGTCTGAGCATATATTGATGAGCTTATCTGAATAAGCTCTTCTATTGTTTTCTCTCGCACATTGTAGAATGGCGAATATTTCTGTCTGGAATACGGTAGAGTGTTTATCCAAGGAAAAGGATAAACTTACCCTTGGTCTTTCCCCAAATACTCCAGTTCCTGTTCCTTCAGCGGTCTTTGACCCGTCTGTATACCAGGTTAGTCCATCCTGAAGGAATGTTGTGTGTCCACATTCCTCGATTCATATATCTTCAAAATACTATTAAGGTTGCCTACCCTTTAAACAACGATTTTCCTAGATATTTTCATTTTCTTCATTATTTGATAAATCTAGGTGGCTGTGATACACCTTTTGTTAATTTAACAAAAATTAATGTATGTAGAATAAAATATTCAACGGTAGTAAAAAGATACACGTTTAAAATATATTTTAATTATTACAGAATTGAAACTAGATATAAACATATAATTATGTAACAAAAATTAGATAGGTGAAATCAAATACTAAAAATGCTTCCTTTCCTATTTACTGCATAAAATGATTTTCTTTTCAAAAAATCTTTTCATGTTAAAAGACATACATGGAGTTCTACTTCGAAAAACAGCCACAATCATTTCTCTCATGTTGTCGAGAATATAGTTGGTCGAGTTTTGTAAACGCTGTTTTTGACATATTCCTATTTCCTATAAAAAAAACCAGTCTAGATAAAATCAAGAGTATTTAAGTATTCCATTAACTGGTGAATGCATACTGTATTCACCAACTAATAAAATCATATCAATTCTTTCTGATGTAGGATAAGTTTCCATTTTCTCAAAACTCACCTATATTTTTTTCCTATAGAATCCAAAAATCAATTAATATATTATATTATATGTTTCATTTCAAAAAACACAACTTTGATGTGTAACTTTTTTTGGGGACACCCTGCAGAACTCTCTTTATATTTAAGGCCAATGTATGTGCACCCTAATTTTGGGGATCCATGCAATAACTCCATCAAAAATATCCTTGTTTCCTATTTTAATCTCTTGTAATTCCGTGATCTGGGTAAACGCCGATATTTATGAGATATATTTGGTTTTTAAAAAATTATGTTACTAACATTAGGTCTACCTTGGCTTACCACTAACCTTAATAATTAAAATGAACACATGGAATAAACTAAATAACTGATTTAAAAAGAACACTTCAATTACCATGTCCAACTTTAGTACAAAATTATATTCAGGCTAGGATAAATACTAAACAATTCGTAGGGCAACTTTGAGACAGTACCAAAATTGGCCCGCAAAGAAAAGAATGTTGTCTAGAAGCAAATATATTTTTCTCCCAGTCTCATTTAAGAAAAGGTTTTTATGTAAAATATGAGGGAAATAACAACAGTGTTTTCAGATATACTAACTAGTTTTTCATGGAACTTTACAGTACTGTTTGTAGCATAGAAAGTATACAGAATTTGTAAAATAAATACACCTATTTGTAGTTAACTTTTTGAAATGTTAATAAACATGTAGTGTTCAATGCAGAATGGCCGATCGGGTTATTTAGTCGCAGTATAGTTACCCTTTGATAGTATGTAGTAGAGATAAGTTTATTTTTGAAAATGACGAACCATACATTATACAATGGGAAAATATGAGGAATGTACCAAAGTTATGTTGCAGTCTCAAAGCTACCCCAGTTTACGGTAGTTGTAGATTTCTGAAAAGTAATTGAAGATTCTTTAAAGATTTTGAACATTATAATGATGGAAGTACACGCTCGCCGAGGCGACCCTAGGCGCGACAAAAAAGGAAGGTCCTCAGTGACGTATCGTATAGGGGGCCAGGAGGGGCGAACACCCCCTCCGCCCCTGGGCGCTTAGCGCCCCTGGCGCCGTTGGAAAAAAAAATAATAGAAAAACTAAATTTAACGCAAAAACAAACGGTGTCCTACCGTGCCCTTAGCTCTTCAAGATAAAAAAAATGACGTATATATTTCTCACATTTTATTTTTGTTCTTTAATGTTTACTTATATTTAATAATTTAAATCTCTAATGAAGTAGGCGTATATACTACGTACGAAAGTTTTCATATGGTTTGAAACTTGAAACTACGCTGCCGCTAGACAATTGTCTATAAATAAAAATACAATGGCTAGACATAATGTTGCGCGGCGCCGCCAAAGAAGAAGAGGCAAGCAGTCGCGATAGAAATAAATTCGGGGAATCACCGATCGAAGTATAATCGATTATAATGAAGAGCTGAATAAAATTAATATATTGTCCAATCACTTGCAAAAGGTTAATATCAACTTATGTACAGCTGCTCACATTATTACTGCGGTAACTATAGATCTCAAATCATTAAGAAGTGAAAAATATTTTGAAAATTTTGAAAAACAGGCTACTATTTTGGCAAATAAATGCAATACGTCAACATCATTTTCCACAAAAAGACAAAGAATTAAAAAAAATTCATGATGAAATCCAGAATGACTACCTACATCAAAGTTCTGAAGACAATTTCAAGATATCAGTGTCTTATGGTACTTTAGACATTTTAACTGGTACTCTACAGAATCGTTTTGAAGACTTCCTTAATATATGCCAAAAATTTAATTGTTTATTGGATATGGACCAATATGGTCTTATGGATTGTTATGGATTATTCTTTAGTTGATGAATATAAACATGTTTGCACTTTATTAGAAACAATTAATGCAATGACAACAAATTTGCACCTGACGAATATTTATCATTTTTAATTTCCAATAACCTAGAGTCTTCATATACATCTTTATGTGCATTACTGAGGTTTTTTTACACTATAGTCACCAACAGTGCTGGTGCAGAAGGATCTTTCAGTAGATTAGGAAGAATTAATAATTACCAGAGGATTATTTATCACTTCTCAGTATTCACAAGCAGACACAGCCCAGGATCTAAATATAGACGAAATAATTGATTCTTTTAAATCGGTTAAAACAAGACGCTTGCATCTTTGAAATAACTATTTTGTATACTAACTTTTTTAATAAACAAATCTATAATTAAAAAAAAAATAAAAGTTTTCATGTAGTCTTATTATTTAAAAAAAAATGTAATTTATTTGATCCTTTATTGATCATTGCGCTTCTTAAGGTCTTTGCCTTGTTTGCCTCCGGTCCATGTATATTTCACATAAGTTCGTCTGTTAGGCAGACACTGGCGCAACAGCGCAACTCCAAAATTCCGAATGTCGATTAGGCCAGGATTAGCCAATTGTCGAATGGGAACGCAATCGAAAGCGGTACGAAGTTGGACTGAGCCGTACGAATGAACAGCTGGTGCTAGCGTCTAGTCTCTTATTGGTCTGGCTATCCGATCGATAATTCAAATTCCAGGCTTGCGTACTACGCTTAAGCACCGCTAACTGAGCGACTTATGCAAATTCCTTCAGAAAATTTATATACCCATTTCACCGGCTTGGCTTCACAGAATGCAGTTTGGAGTCGATATTCTTTAGTTAATATATATATGGTACCTTTGATGGTACCAAGCCGTAAAATTGATCTTTTTTGACCGAAACTGCTGGGCTACGCCTCGGCCGCAAATTTCAGGCGATGACAAAAAAGATCATACGGCCGAGATGCACACAATTTTTTTTAGGAGAGTGTCTTTTGAAGTAGGTAACAATTTTTTTTTACAATTTTGTTTCTAAATAAAGACGAAACTGGAAGATTGGATTCAAATTTTTATTAACCAAATGAAAAGTGTATTAAGTAACAAAGATGTGTACAGAATTACTTACAGTATTATAAACAGAAGTTGAGTTATAAAGAAGTTAATAAATTAGGGCATTATTTGCTATTAATTGAAATGTTAAATGTACATTTATTACATGAAAAAGTAATACCACTTTTAGACATGACATTGTTAATAAACATTTCATTTTCTTGATTTTCAGTATGGTAATGGTTCTTGTTGGAAAGCTGCTGACTGCATTTAATTCAATTTCTTTGGAATTATTTTGATCAGAAAAACGTATACCTGAAGTACCTTCTCCTCCTGCAAGAATTCTATCTGAAATTTCCTTCTTTCTTGAAATGGAATCTTCAATGTAGCCTTCTGCTTTTATAATTTGACAATCGTAATATCGGAATATTTCCTTTGTCTTGAATATCATTTATAGACAAATAAGTAAATTAAATGTGTCTAGTAGGCTGCTCTTATAATGACTTTGTTTGCAAAAGCGGCCGTAAAGTAAAAAAGCGGCCAAAAAAGATACACTTTAGGGACGTTAATAGATCCGTTAAACTTAATTTTTTGTGACACTCGCTTAAACAAATAATTTTTGAACAAAAAGCTTGGAGAAAGCATAGAAGTTTATATCAAATAGAAATCCTGATATTTAAGTACCTTTTTAAATGGTGGATCACCCTATCGGGTCTTACGTGTGAATTTCTGATTAATAATTTAAAAGAAACGATAAATAGAAGATAATTTTCTCCATTATCCCTCGCTTTTTCGCTGTCCCTCATTACACCTTATAGGAAACAATTTTATACTCCAAACAGTACAATTTTAAAGAAACTCTAATTATTTAATTACCGTATGGAAACGTTGTTTTTAATAAGTGTCACATTATCTACCTTTATACATACTTCCTTTCTCCATTTCTCTGACCTATTTCTGTCTTTCTCTATTTCTTCGTTTTCCGTCTCAGGGCTTTATCAAAAGCCAGTATCTGAGACGGCTCCACAGAGGCCAGCTCTCTACCCTCGACATCAGCCGTACCAAAGTTCATGGCACGAACGGTCGTCGTCTCGGCGCACTCAGTGATAAGGCGTTCTGGTGTTTCCCCATTTTCCACTAGTGATGGGTTGTTATTTAACTATCTGTTATTTTATAACAATTCTTTAGAAATAACATAACGCAACCGTTACTACTTTTAAAAAATAACAGTCGAAGTCGGCGCTCTGCACCGCCACGAAATTCGATGCAGCTCGAAGCAATTCCAAAAAACAACTAGTATCTGACTAGTATGGATTATGGATGGAAAACATGTTATTTCGACAACCATCGATACAGGCGGCGAGATACAACGGACAACGGAGTGGGAAATGCGCTACGGCGCGGCGCGGTGCGGCGCGGCGAACGTAGCTGCATCGGTCGATGGTCGTGTGGGGCTTGCAACAGATTAAAAATAATAGGATATGAAAGAAACAGCTTTTTTGAAACAGTTTCGGGCATAACGCATGGCGGTCGAGATAACAGGAGTGGGAAAGGAACGCTGTAGCATCGGTCGATTGTCGATGGAGGCTCCCAACGGGTTGGAGAAGCAGTCATTTTAGATACGTTGTTTTTTAACCTATTACAAGCATAACAGCGGCGGTCGAGATAATCGGAATGGGAAAGTAACGCTGCCGCATCGGTCTACTGTCGATGGAGGTTCGAAACAGGTTGAATTCGAAACAGATACATTGTTTCGATTCGAAACAGATACATTGTTTTTCAACCTGTTACGAGCATAACGGGCGGAGGTCGAGATATTATGGCGCTGTATGTTTCAGTACTTACTTATTAAGTTTCAATATTATAATATTATATATATATATATATATATATATATATATATATATATATATATATATATATATATATATATATATTCCTATATATGCTATATATATATATATATATATATATATTATTCCTGTTATTTTTAAGCTGGTATTTATTTATTCTGAAAAATTTTCAGAATAATATTTGAAGATTTTTTAAAAATGTATACATGGTGTTCTAGTCATTGATTAATCACGATCCTGCTTAAAGCCCTTGGCGTAAAAAGCTGATTTTTGGAAAACGGATTGACTTTAGGGTGTAGGGGTTCGATAAGAAGGGATTTTTCGAAACTCGAATTCTAATAATAATTCTAATTCTTTTGATCGCAAATGGTAAAATCATAACTAAGAGCTTCTCGCCCGTCGAGTGAGATGCACCCTGTACACTGCTACGCAATTCAGGATCTACGAGGATCGAGGGGCAGGGTGTAGGTAGATCGGAATGTATAGGTATAGACGAGTGGCGGAATTTTGGCTTTTTTTACATCGCAATTTGTAAACAGCGCTTATTTGTAAACAACCACCGTTTTTAGAGAGATATTTTAGATAACAATCGATATTTAGAAATGTTTTGAACCCGAAACGCCTGGCGGTGACCGCCTCATACTCTTTCAGATATTTAGCAATAAAATAAAGAAACCTGTTATTTTTAAACTGTTATTTTAAGCTGTTTTTTATAAATAACTATAACAGTTTCAACTGTTATCTAAAAATAACAGTTTTGCCCATCACTATTTTCCACACAGAATCTGCATTCGCCGTTGTTTCTCAGCTTCAGCCTACTGAGGCGTTTGTTGAGGACACAGTGTCCTGTTAGAAACCCCGTGACAATCCGAAGATTGTTTTTACTTAAATCAAGGAAAATTTTTGATTTTTCTCGGTCGTAAGTTCTGAGGAACTTTTTTGAGTGTTTTAGAACGTTGGAGGACTCCCATTCCAGGTTACGGATGGAGTTTTCCAGGTTCTTCAGTTCCGCTTTTAATGGGTTGCCCCTTGGAAAACAGAACGTTTCTGGTCCAGTTAGTGGGGTGTTCGCTCCTTTTCTAGCTAGATCATTTGCTTGTTCATTGCCTTATCCTTTGGTGAGCGGGCACCCAGAGTAGGAGGACTTTATTTTCTTTACATAACTTGTTCAGCTTCTCTAGGCATTCTTTGACCATCTTCGAACTGATGGTTACTGAGTTGATCTAGTTTAGTGCTGCTTGACTGTCGGATTAGATGGTTATTTCCTGTTTTCGATAGTTCCTATCTAAGATAAATGGTACGCATCTTTCGATAGTGGAGATTTCTGCCTGAAGGATGCTGGCGTAAGTGCCCATTGATTCGGAGTATTTAGTTTTAATCCCAAATACTCCTATCCCTGTCCCTACTTTGGTTTTGGAAGCATCATTATACCACGTTATGGTAAGGTCTTTTACATGCTTATTAAACGTTACTCCCTTCCACTCCTTTTTATTACTCAATACTACAGTGAGGTATTTCTAAAAGTTGTAAATTCTTGGTATCTCATCCACTGGAAGTGGGAGAAGTGGAATTTTCTTTTTGAGGGTGTTCCAAAAACCCTGAAAATTATCCCAGTACTGTTTTTGTCAATGACCAGGATCGTAAATATCTAGGGGCAAATATAACAAGCACTAGGAATCTCAAAGAGGAAGTAAAAACCCAATCAACAAAGGCACATTAATATCAGGATATTTAAGGGATATAATTTGGCGAAATAAATATATGAGCGTTAGAAGCAAAGTTGTGAATTTATAAGGCTTGCGTGAGACCAGTTATGACATATGCGATAGAGACTAGAGCAGAGAACACAACAACAAAACGGCTCTTAAGAACAACAGAAATGCGAACACTAGGATCAATTACAGGATATACCTTATATGACCGGAAAATAAGTGAGGATATAAGGGAAACATGTGAAGTACAGGATGTAGTAAGATGGGCAAGAAACAGGAGAAGAGAGTGGAGAGACCATGTGGATAGGATGTCAAACGACCGGTTAGCGAAAAAAGCTAAGGAGAATAGACCCAACACGCCTCGACCGCCGGGACGACCACCTATAAGATGGTATGAAAGCTGGTTTTCATCATCCCAACTGTTCTTAAGGAACCATTGAAGAAAACACAGGACTTGGTCCTAACGTACGAAGAAGAAGAAGAGTTATAACTCAAGAAAGGAAGAAACTTAATAGATCTCTTAAGGCGCGTTGATTTATTCATCACTTTCTGACAGTATCTTTGTTTTCTTTATATATACATTTGAAGAAATCAAAGAGAAATTCATAATTGAAAAAAATGTTTTACTGGTTTTAAACATAAACAATGAGGGTATTATTGATAATATTTAATTAAACAAGAAATTTAAGGACAGTGCCTTAAACTATTAAGATTTGTTAGTTCAAATTATGTTTTTTATTTTTCTAGAGTTTACTATCAAATATAATAATTTATTAAGGTGTAACATTTTTGTTATGTCTATGAAATATCTTTTATAAATATAATATAATAATAGCTCCCGTATATAGTGTTTAATGCCTTGGGAGTAGCAAGGTACCGCTTGCCATAGTAGAGCCGTTCGGTATACAAGGAAGGTATCTGTATTACGCTTCAACCGCCTATTATTACCTCAGGATTGTGAATCCCAAGTACTCATTTAAGGCTGAGTCGACCTAGGTACCCAAATTATTTTTATTTTATTAAAAATAGTCGGCTGATGAAATGCCGGCTGTGGGATTCGAACCCGAAACTTTTGAATTGGTAGACGAGAGCTGTACCTCTACGCCACCGGGCACCATATCTTTTATAAATATATAATTAAATAAAAATACATGTTATTGCAGCTACTAGGTGTTGCTTATTTCAAAAATCTTGTAAAGTGAACAAAGGTAAAATAACAGTTAACCTTTCTTTATGTTGTTTCTTCTTCAGTCAAGTTTCGTAGAACAGCAAAATATGAAAGAGAAGTCCTCACAATCTGAAGAAATCAAAAGGCAAATTAGAGGAAAATACAAATAATACGTATGAAAAAAATGAGTTAATTACAGTTTCTTGATGACAGTTATTTACCTTGCCAAATGTTTCAACTGTTATCTCAAAATAATCCAAAGCATACAACTTGATAGGTTTCTGACTTCTGTGTATGAAAAACAGTAATTTCTTTTTAAATATTTTTGATGAATTGACCCAATCACATTCGTAAGCAGCCTTAGGTATATTTTGACTCTAAAAACGTTAATATTAAAAAAAATAAATAGTTATGTAAAAGTCTTGCCTTAACTGTCATTTCTGACGCGAACCAACAAGGTACTAGCAACAAGTTTCCAATACAGAGTTGATACACTATCAAAAAGAAGAATTGAAAGGAACTGGGGTCAGCCTGGAAAAAAAGGTTTTGAAGAGCTTAAGTTGGTAGTGTTTTATTGAAGAAATGTTTACCAAAGTAAGAAGAAAGAGCCCCATACATATTGCACAGGTACTTGCAAAGATTTGGGCAAAGTACACTCTACCAAAAACCATATTTACTGTTTCTAGAAAACTAAACATAATACTTAATAATACTACTAAAAATATGTTTTTTTGCCGCAAGTAAATTTAATCAAAAATAACATACCTAGAGTTTTATTATCTTTGACAATAAATAGAGGATATATAGGGTGAGTCTTAAATAAGTGCAACTATTTTCAGGGCTGGTAGATCTCGATAAAAGAAGCATATTTTATTTTTACCTTTTTTCCAATAAGCCCAAAATAACCGAGTTATTTTATTTTGAAAATTTTCAAAATAAAATGATTTTTTTCTTAAATTTTACTTATCACAAAGTTACATTCAGGCTGAGAGCGTCGAGCGTCGCGTCGCGTCCGCCCCATTGAACTTGACCCCCGGCGCTCAGCGGACGCTAGCGCAACGCCAAACGCAACGCTGTCTGCCTGAACGGTCTGATTTAAGTTAAGTGAATTTATTCCATTTCGACACGCAAACGCGACTCGACGCTACGCTCGAAGCTCTCAGCCTGAATGTACACTTATCACTGGATCTTTTTTTGGTTTTCTTTCTTCTAAATTTAATCTGTTACCTATGTTGTCATATTATCAAGAAATTATATTTTTTAACTAAAAACAATTCCAAATTTTTTAAATTTTTTTTTTCGCGAAAAAAACTCATTATCGTGTTTCTGGGATCGAAATATACTATACCCCTAAAAATTATTGCACTTACTTAAGACTCACTCTATAAACTGGTGAAAAAAACTGTTATATCATCATTTTTTTTTTGCAGAAAAATTTATGATTAATTTAAAAAAAATAAAAATTTCCCAAATTTATTATTTCAGTCAAATAACTATCTACTCAAAGTGTTTATTTTTTGTCATTGACTAGTTCCATTCGAAATATCTTGAGAACGGTTGCTCGTAGCGATTTTTCCCAAGAGACATTTTTTATGTAAAAAGTCACGAAAATGTATATTTTTTCACTCAGTAGTTTTATACAGGTATGGACGAAAAGTTATTACTCTTCAAAATAGTTAAAACACATGTATGCGCCCCCTACAAATAGGAGTCATATTGAAATCAAAATTAAATTTTTCCTGTCAAAAAACTCCCAGACACCAGTTTTCATCCAAATATTGACGTTAATTCAGAAATTATTTAGAAAAAAATCGAAATAAAAATGAAATTCCTACACCCTGTATCTCCGAAATTAAGCATTTTAGGACATAAATTTATACGAACTTTTTTACTTATTTTTTTCTGTAGAATATGCTGCAGACGTTTCCGGAATACAGTTCGGACCATCCTGTATATCTCAAAATATTTACCAAGGTATTATTTAGTATAATTCTGATGAAAATAAAACTGTGATTGATGAAAACTAACAGCAAAATTATTTTAATCGACATTTGGATTTTACAAAGTTACTTACCTCAAAATAGTATAGTGGTGTTTGACACACTCTACAAACTTCAATTCATCTCCTGCAAGATTCCTAGCTCTTTGACATAACAGATCACATTGCAGACCTACAAAAGTACATACACCAGCAACCAGAGTATCAGTGAATATATTCAATCCGGAAATGAAAAACATCGCTAGTCCTTGATGGACATAAGCCAGCTCATATTGCGGAGACACCTCAATGTTAAATGGGTACCACGACTGTACAGGTAAACCTTGGTTAGTTTTATAAAACAAAGGCACAGTTATCGAGCAAAAACTCGAAATACCACTCAGTATAACCAGGGCAGTTTTGAATTTTCCGAAAGATTCGAAAACTTTCTTTACAATTAATTTTTCTTCGTCATTTTGAGGTTTAAAATATTCGTGATCAAACTCCATGATAAGTTCGTAGACTTTTTGATGGTTTACGTAGAAATAATAAGATTTTATTTGTCCCATCAAGCATACAAAAACGATGTAACCTATAGCGGTGAGTGTCCTGATGTTTTCAGTGTTTAAAACCCAAAATACTAGGACTAGGAAATTGAACGGACCGATTAAAAGTATGTTTACTATGAAATGGTGGATTTTGTAGAACATGGAGAATGGTGTTCCGGTATATATCCATGCGCCACAATATTTTAAACAAAAAAAGTCCCGCTTAAAGTAATCAAAGTATGTAAACGACATTTTTAACGACATTTTTTGGGCTGAAGTGACAGTAGTTCACTCTGAAACACTCTTTTATATCTTAAATCCTTTTTTGAAATAATAAAGGAAACAATTATCCGAAAACACAAAGCGAGACACAAGAAACTCTTAATATACAGGGTGAAAACATCAATAAAATTTTAAAGCAGCAGATTCATTTTTTATTCTCATAAGTTTATCCAAATTTTGAACTGATTTTTACTGCATTATTACACCTGTGTTTATTGATCCGCTTAAACTGAAGGTATACTTCAGAAGAAAACCAAATAATTACAAAGCTTTTTTCGGAAATGTGGGGCATCCTGTAGAATTTTACGTGAGAATTTCTGATTAATAATGAAAAAGATATGGAAATATAAGGTAATAGATCCTATTATAGTAATTAAGGAAAATATTACGGAAAATCTGGAATAACAAATTTCTATTCATTAAATATTAAAACAAGACTTTACGCTTTGACTAATTGTGTTTTTATTACTAATTTTAAAAGTGGCAAATATAATATCATACAGGGAGTGATTGAGAATAATTAAAATAATTGCGAATAATGTGTTAGAGGATTTTAAGATTAGTTGTTGGTACTCAGTACGGTTTCCGGAACCGGAGCTGTTTTTTGGAACGGGAATTTAAAAAAATATAAAAATAGCACATTTGATATTTTGCTCGATTACTCTTCGCGATATAGAGTTTATAAAAATTCGCTCACTTTAAATAAGTAGGCTTTGAACGGCGCCGGCTGTAATGCAAAAAAATCTATCTGTGAGCATCAATTAAAACGAAAATAATATTTGCTATGAGAGATGCAGAATTTTATAACAATATAAACTATATTTAACAAGCATCAACAAATTTAAACTATATCTAATAACAATAAAAATAAATAGCAAACCAAGACATGAGATTTTGCTACAGGTGTTCGACATATCGACCGTCTTCTGTTATGGACAGACGGTTTTTGAACATTTCTCGAGGAATTCTTTAACTCAGTGGGGGTGAAAGATACCCTCTCATAACTGCTAAGTATTTCTAATTCTTGTCTAGATTATACTGTCAATTTTAAAATAAGAACCTTTATTCTTCCGCAAATATATATATATATATGTATATATCCATAGGATTAGATCCATAGGCACTAAGTCCGGCGATCTCGACGGCCAACGGCTAGGATCTTAGCTATTCAATTATTTTTAAAATTGGCTGCAACAATTTGCTGATAACTTCAGCGTTCTGAGGCGGTGCCTCGTCTTGCTGGAAAAATATGATAACCTACTAGTTGAAAGTAGCGAACTTTTAAAAATTCTGTATTTCGAAGGGGATTGTAACAAAATATGAACTGTGCTATATTTTTAGAAAAGTAATTTTAATATCTTTTCAGTTAATTAAAAAGATACAGGGTGTCCCAAATAAAAAAATCATTTTTTCTGTTGATAACTCTTAAAATATTAATTTAAAAAAAAATATACTTAAACCATTAAATTCTACGTAAAAAGGTACTTTGAAAATGTTTTTATAGAAATACAAAATTTTCTATAGCAAAAAAGTTACAGCGATTTGCTAAAATGGCACATTTTTGAGAAACACCCCTTAACTCCGAAACGGTAACAGATATTGATGTGCGGTTTATACCATCCTGTTTTTCATGAAAATTGAACTCCAGACACCCATATTAGTTTTCGTCTATCTCCTATAGAAAAATGTGTTTCCCTTTAAAAGCGTCCAATTTGACCCACCCTGTACAATCGTATGTTTACAGTATTTTCTGTTTCTTTATCATGATATAATCATCTTCCTCCCAACAACTACAGCGTTCAAGCTAGAAAATTAATACTTACATAAACACGGCTTTTTTTAATCAGGCGTTCAAAATAAGGTTAGAATTTAATCGTAATCGACGAAGTAATTTTTAATCAATATAGAATCTAAATTTTAAGCACCGTTTAATTATTTATTAAATATGAGAAACGTGTATATAGTTGAATGATTTCAAAATATTGTTCACCAGGAAGTAACAAGGAACAGAGATATGTGATAAGCCCATTTAAAGGTACATTTTGTCTTTTAAATTTATAAAATATGTAGAATTTCTGTAATGGAATATTTTACACAAAAGCTTAAAATCCCGCCGCTGCCACCAAACACACTATCATAATAGCAAACAAAATTTTCAAAGTTTTGTTACTTACAATTTGGTGGCAGCGGTGGGATTTTAATCCTAACAGAAAGTTAGTCATATTTCTCACAGGAAAAGCATTCCCTTATTTTTAAGCAGTGTTTACGATTTTTATGAAAAACTTAATTTAACGACCGATACATGTGGAACTATAAACTATACTAGGTTAGGTTAGGTAGCCGTCGACGAACTCATCCGGATCCTGAACTCATTCACGACCCATGTGAAATTGTTCAAACTCATGGTACTTGCTCGAAGTCGCGGACGGTCCGCTCCATCTGAAAGTGCTGTAAATCCATTTACTTTTTATATCGTTTTGTTTAGTCAGTAGTAGAAAACAAATTTAAATACTGTCAAAAAATTAATCATATTATCGCTCGTGATAATCTCCGATAAATATTTGAATTTCTTAAATTTATTGCTAAAAAATTGAGCAAAATCAGTATAATAAAACTATTTCAATCATTGTTGAACGCTGCATATAATATAATTTAGTTCTGGTGCGGTTAAATTGTGAATGTATTGTTATTATTGTGAAATGTGCATTTCTAAAGTTCCTTTTTTTGTCACGATATTTTGAGATAAATCATTTTTTACTATTCAAATTATTCAGAACAGCATAATAAGACAGTGAAGAACGAATAATCTGAAAAATAAAAAATATATATTTATACTAAATCAAAATATATTAATGTTATATAGTTACAGTGATAAATGTTCCTACTGATATTTCAAAGTAATCCATGGCATACAATTTGAGAGGCTTCTGAGCACGACACATAAAAACTATCAATTCCTTTTTGAAACTGTTCGTAGTGGTCATCCAGTTACAACTGTAGGCGGCGATTGGTACATTCTCACTCTTCAAAAACAATTTAAAAGTTATATTTAACATTTCCAATTTTTTTTATGAGATAATACTATCTTACTTTTCTTGCCATTTCTGATGCAAACCAACAAGGTACGAAGAGAAGGTTCGAAATGGCGACGTTGTAAATTACCAAGTAAAAAAACTCGAAAGTTTTTGGCGCAGTCTAAAAAGAAGTGGATCAAAATAGTAAAAAAAATATCGACAATAATATGGGTTAAATAAGTGCAAATATTTTTAAGGGTGGTATATTTCGACCCCAGAACTACGTTAATGAGGTTTCTTTTGCGAAAATTTTTTTAAAATTTGGAATTAATTGAGAAAATGTTTAGACTCCCCCGAAAATGGTAGGTGGTAGAAGAAAGTGGGTGCTATATTTGGACTCAGAACGTCATTAAGGTAAGAATCAGTAGGACTGGTGCCAGTTTGTTAGACCAGTAACACTTTCTATAAATACAATACAAATTTAAAAAAATCGCTAGTGTTAACATTAAATACTTATATTTGATATCAATTAAACTTTTAGTTACGTAATTGAGGGGATTTTTGAATTCATTGTTGCCAACCATTGACATATTCGGCGCCAGGCTGACTAACTGGAATTTAAATTTCATTTATTTATTTATTTCCTGACATTGTCATTCGTTTTGACATTTTAGTTTTGTACTACGAGTTTTTGGTTTAAGTGAATTGTGTTGTAATATTTTAAACTTAACATTTTCTAGCATACCTTATAGTCAAACATTGTTCTTTTTAGAACCTCTTTTAGTGCGAAGTGTACAAGATAGCTTAATAGCTGTAAAAAATAGAATATTTTTAACGGGAAAAAGCCGTAGTAATGACCCTTATCCCTTAAGTGCTGTTAAAAAGGTGCGTTGTTGATGTAAATAATAACTGTTTATATAAACTATTCAAAACAATTATCGCATACTTTCTAAAAAAAATGTTAATTTGAAAAAATTATGGATTTCGACAACGAAAATACTTTTTTAAAAAATTTTATTTTTCATAAAGTATGTTTAACAGATACAATGAATACAATGGTTAAGAACAGAATGACAATTTTAATGCGCTTGGTTATATTTATAAGTTCGGTTTCGCTCGCGTCTTCGTGGGAAAACCATGCTATTTCCTCTCACATAACTCCTCCCTTCTTAAATGGAAAATGTGAGGGGTGGCGAATCATTTTCAGGATGTTCCTCTCGGGGTTGCTTCTTTTTTTCTATCTTCTTTTTGTAGATAGACCATGTAATCCAACAAATCATTGCGATGACCAGAATTGTAATGGCAATGCTAGCGAAACTCCATCCTACAGGGTGTATCACTTCATTAAAAGGTTGAAGTAATTTAACTTTTTCCTGAAGTTCAGATATTTCATGGATATTTATTGACTTAATATCGATAGGTTGATCTTCTTTTGAGTTTTCTGGTCCAACGTAGATTTTCGGTAAGGTAAAGGGCATTCCTTGAATTATTTCTTCTTTATTGATGAATTGATAGCTTGATACATTTACTTCACAGTTCGGTTCGATTTCTATCAGGCTTGGATCGCTGATAAATTTATTTTCTTTTTCATCACCACACTGCTGCTGAATTTTCAATGGTTCTTCAGTAGGTATTGCGACGATATATTTGTTGTTGATTGGTTTT